TCTGGTATCAGAATTTTTATCGTGTATCTGCTTGCAAACTGGCGCGACTCCATTTCGTTCGCGTTTTTTCTTCTTTTTTTTTTTTCTCTACATTTCGAACGTACACGTGTTCGTTTTTGTCGTTTTCCTTTATCTTTCGCCGAATGCAAATTCGCCGCTGGCTAAATTCGACAGCCGGTTGTAGATTTTGTAGTTCGAAAACATTTTCGAAAAATTCTATCGTATCGCGATATACTTAACATCTCGGTGTATCTTCTGTAATTTATCTTCGACGTTACAATAATCCGGTTACCTATGTTTCCCCCACGAACTTTTTCACCGTGATAAGAATTATCCAGTGGGATAGAAGTTAAATTAGATACTCGAACGTTCGAGATAAACAGAATCGACTGGTATCAAAGAGGAACGCTGAAAGTGCAGCAAACACGACCAGGCATAAAGAAAACCACTGTACCGTAACCATGTCGAAGTAAACCGATTCTGACTGCTCCGGATATTGTAACGAAAGTCAATATTCCGTAAAGAACGGCCTTATCGATAAGCACGATAAAGAGGATCGCTTCGGTCTGCGCGATTGCACGAAAATAATGTCGTTACGAAGTCACATTTCTTAACGTTCCCCGATCGGCAAAGCTCTATTGGAGAGCGCACAATAGGGATCGGTCTGTCCATTTGTTGGAATTTCACAAAAGAACAGTTCGTACATGCGAGAGAACGCAGAGGCTAATCCACAGTCTAACCGTGTAACAATGTTGCGCGGCTATAAACAAAGGCGGCGTTGATCCTGAGCAACATCAGCTGATTGTTTCGGATCAGAGTTGTTATCCAAGAGAATACGCAATCGGCCCACGCGAGACGTGGCTTCATTCGTGACCGTGGCTCGAATTACTCCGATTGCGCGCTGCATCGATGAACATTGTCGGTTTCGATTCAACGTCATCGTACCCCTCCTCCTCCTCCTCCTCATCGAACACCTTCCACCGGTAAATTACACATAACAGAGGCGTGTTTTCGTTGTATCGAGTACGGTATTTATTAATAGTTCAACGCTACCATTCTGACGAGGCTGTTCAACGAAGACGTTCGAAGAAAAAGACTCTCTCTTTCGAACGCTACTTGTTCATTTTTATTTTTTCGAAAAAATTGTTTAACTTTTTCTTTTTTAGCGACTTCGTTGTTCGTGTTAGTTTCTGAAAATTGACTGGCATTTGACGAAGAAGAAACATTGAAAAATATGTTAGCCTCGTTTGATTACATCTGTCCATTAAACTACACTTTACGAATTTTATTCCGAGAAAGTCAGGTGTTTCGATAACACATTCGATGTGATTCAACGAAACTCAGAAACACGCTTTATCTCGATAACCAGGGCTTGATTATTCGCGTGTATGTACTGCGCGCCATATTATTCCGCGGGAAGAAAATATCGTTACATCAAATATTCATTGGACTCGCGGCGACACACCATCGGGAACGAATGCATGAAAATCATTTCATCGCTCTACCCCTTGAAGCTTTCCCACATCTTCTCGAGGCCAGAGGAATAATTTTCAAACCCAGCCGATACGCGCGTTTCTTTAACGCGAAAAACTCGACGTCAAACGTGAACATGGATAAATTCGACGTTGTGTAAAGAGAAGAAGAAAATGCGACAGATTTTCCTTTCGAACGACGCGTTACAGATGAGCCGCATTTTCAAACAGTTTCCTCGAGTTGCTTGAATTCTTTGTCTCCAGTCATGAATCTCGCGTACGTCAGCCCATTATTCACGACATTCCACAGCATTCTTGTCTTTTTTCACGTTGCAGCCGCCCGTCAACGTTGTTGCGAGCGATTCGTAACAGGATCTCTCTCTCTCCCTCTCGCTGGATCGTCGTGTCGAATTGATTGCAACGCGGTGTTGTTTTCAATTGCACATCGTCCGACGAACGATGCACATCATTTACTTAACGTTGTCAATCGATCAAACCGACTGTCAACCCGCGGTCTTCCGCGTCGCGCGCGCGCCTGTCCTTTCGCGAGGGAGGGCACATTATCGAAGGTATTATCGTTTCTTCACCTCGGCTCGGTCTTGCGTTACCTCTCGGCAAAATATTTACAGCGAGTACAAATGACGAAGAAGGAATGGCTAACATCGCCGGCGCACAGTATCGCGGCAATAACGTTGATTTATTGCGTTTCAGGAAAAATCTGAAAAATGAAGGATGACGTGGAGGAGGACGATGCTGGCGCGTTGTCTTCCACATCGGTGCCGGAAACGACAATCTCCTACGGGTAAGAGTCCAGTTTTTTTCTTGTCTAAATCATGCCGAAGAGGTGGCGGCTCGAACTAACAAACAAGCGTTACGCTCCGCGTATATTTGTTTCTTGCAAAGAAACGATTTTGGAGTGTGTTCGACGTGTGTGTGCGTGTGCGTGCCACACGAACGAGGCGCGCATAGCGAATTCACAATATCTGGCTCGAACGCTACGATCGGGATAGGATTAGCAGCTATCCGTATCGAACATTCCTACCTTTAATTTTAGCGGACAAATTGCAAACTATAAAGAGATTCGAAAGTATCGGCGAAATATAAAACAACCTATAATAACACTAATTTTCCTATAGTGTTCGGTTATAATTAGCGCTTTCTGCAGTGCTAATTTGCGTTTATTTTTAGCGCCGTTAGACGTAGAGCTCGGGCTGTTCTATAGATCGCTAGAAAAATTCATAATGTAAAAGGTTAACCGCTAACCGTGTAGGCACTCTTTACGTGTACCTATTCTTACCTTGGCCAGTCGAATGACAGGTTACGAATGTAAAGATCTGATTTTTCCGAAAGGAATACTGGCGATTGTGTCAATTTAATGTGGGAAAGAACGCGGTAAATAACACTTTGAGGATGATAGACTCGTATGTGCGTTCACAAAATATAAAAATAGTTAGCAATTGATGAACTCATGCATGTAGGTATATCTGAGGAAAATGTAATTTTCAAATGATTGTTTTTAAAAAAAAAATTGAAGTAGTGACCTAATTATGTGTTGCACAAGTAATCAGTATTTCGTAGTACTCCGTCGGCAAAGGGATAATAAGAAAAAAAAATTACGTATCAAATTTAAAAATCGAATTTAGGAATAGTCTGTAATTGCAGTTGAAGGAAACTGTACTTTAAACGTCGATATATATATATGCATATATACCGAAAAATATTCTGCTCTCGCGAAGAACATGCTCAAATTCTCGCGCGTAAATCCAGCGAGAGAGCATTACGCAGGAAAATTCGTTTCTTATCGCGCGAGTTTGAAGCGAGCAGCCTTACACAAGGGATCCGCCTAAAAATGTGTTGTTATCATGCTGCGCGCTCCGAGCGCGGATAGCATTGGAAGAAGGCGAGGGGAACGACGATTGGTCGTCTGGCCGGGGGAGGGGGAAGCGCTGATTGTCACGGGGAGTGGGGGTAGCGCTCCACCGGCAGTTCGCATCCGACTACCGTGCGTGTTGCGTCTTGACGCTTGTTACGCTGTTTTTTTTGGCAACGTCTCTTTTTCTTCGTTCGTCTCTAAGTGCACCTAAGCGATACGTATGCAAGCGAATTATATCGTATCGTTGACGTTACCACGGGTCTATTACCACACCTGGCGTCTTTAAATACAACATTGTCCTAAAGTGGTGTGTACTCTGTCTAAACCGTGTCTCGTTTTACCTCGCCTCAGAACTCAATCGTACTGTTTACCGTACAGACATCGGATACCACGGAACTGTACGAAGTTGTCGTTGAATCGGACAAAGAGTGACATCGCACGAAATCGCGAAGAAACTGTGTATTCTATCCTCGGAAAGCATAGTCGACGCGTATTTTCTCCGTCCTAAGAGACATTTGGGACAGTGTGTCAAGGCCGGAGATTCCTCCAAGTAACATTGTGGGCTCGGGTCTCTCGGCTTTATCACGTTTCACACGATGGTAACGGAACGCTGGGGCGAGTAGGAGACAGCAACCAGCGTATGCATCCCGAACGCTGTTGGATCTTATTGACGGTGGCTCTGTGTCTCGGCCCTGTGATCGATAACCCTCTTTCGCTTGGATCTCTGTGTGCGCGTCTTAGCGGACGGATTTCCTGTCACGCCGGGGATCTAGAACACGGTGTCAAGGTCAGGAATCCCGACGTAGACTTCGTGTGCTTCTAAGAAATCACACCGTCGATAAAAGTGACGTGCAACCGGGAGGCGATTCTTTCTCTACGTGACATTTCGATTGTGTATATCGAAAATCGGGTATTGGTTCGCCTGAATTCTCGTGGAGCGGGAAAAGACATTGCGGGCTACCGTTACGCCGCAAACTTGTGCGAAGCTCGATGCGTTCCTCGAGACGTAGGAATGTGATTCTCGCGTGACCTATTGTACACGTCTACGAAGGTCGCTCCGCGTTTCCGCAGTTTTTCTTTTCCGTCGTTGCGCACAAAACACATACACACACACTTTTCGACGTGGCCACGTGTGCTCTCGTGCGTACGCGAAACCAGAGACTGACATAAAAATTGTGGCGGGATAAGAGATCTATCGTAGATTCGTCTGCGTTGAGAAGGCGTTGCTATCGACGGAAAACATTCTCTCTTTCTCTCGATACCTCTCTGTCTAATCAACACGTTGTGTATATCTCTCTGTGTTCTCCGTCTCTCCCGATTTTGCCGAATGTTTGCTCGTCGCGTTGAACGTTGAGATACGGGGACCGTGGGTTTTTTTATCGGGTACGCGAAAGAAACCGAGCTCGGAGCGATCGCGCGGCCAAGATTAACCGGCGACCTGGCTAATTTTAATTCGCGCAACAAACAAGCCGCAAAGTTGTCGCGCGATAACGGGCCAGACACACCACGGCCGTTCAACGTCGAACCGCCGAGTTTCGTTGTTTGCGCGCTCTCTGTTCTCCAATATGGCGAACGACGCCGAGGACGAGTCTAGTGTCTCGAGTTTTTCTCCTTCCGCCTGAATAGAAGAAAAAACATTTCTCCAAGTGTCGCACCGTGAACACGTGATTGACTGAATTAACAACGATACGTCGTAAGTGGATAAATCGAAGAAACACAGGTGATTCATTATGAGGTGCAACGATGATCTGTTCGATCGTACGAAGAAAATTCAACGTGCTTGTCGTTGAAACTGGTCGCTGACAGTTTCAACAGAGGCAAGGATAAAATTGGAAGAATGTGGCGGGAGCAACAGAAACAGGTGTATCTACACCCTCAACATCCGCAACAACAGACACTTCATCCAGGGATCATCGGCACGAGCGAGAGGACCCATCACCATCACGATCAACATCATCGAACGACCACAATGGATTTGCCGGCTCCAAGGTCAGACTCGTTGTTCTATTAATGAGATAAGGTCGTAGAATGCGTCAAGGTGAACGGATATGCGTGTAATCCGTGTAATGTTAAAGGTTCAGCCTTAATCGTCGGAGCCTAACCCTCCGGACCGGCTAGGGTGAAATATTTTCGTTACGTAATCTGTCGAGCGCGGTCAATTTGACCGTAATCGGGAAAACAGGTAGAATTTACGGTTGTTGCACAGCGGTGTATTACGTATCGATACCGCCAGACTGATCGATTATCGAAAATTTCAAGTGCAAGGTGAACGTATGAGTTTCCCGGTTAATGGCGGGAAATTTGAAAGTCAACTTTTTTTATTTCGGTACTATCTACGTTTTATGCGATTTTTACAATTGTAATCGAACTTGGAGTACGTATATATGGTCACGATCGATTAGGAGTGTAATAACAGTGAGTTTTGATAGAAAATAATTTCGATATCGATCTACTGTTAAATAGTTAAGAGTGAAATCGTTCTCGTACACGATTCTCGTGTCGTTTGCGCACGATTCATGTGGGTTTCTATGCGAATTCATTGGGGAATGATGAAAGAATGCGTAGCACCGCGTTGATTTCCATCGCTTGTTTACTATGATACGCTTCGCACGAAACGATCAACGTTTGTTCTCGTTTCCCCCTTCGTTTCCCTTTTTTCCTCTCTCTCTCTCTCTCTCTCTCTCCGTTTTTCCTTCGTTTCGCATTGTAATCGCGTTACGACCAACACGGACAGAGACCTTCGGAAATGAATGCAACAACGTATAGTGCAAGTTACACGAAGCCTGGCGAGCAATCCAGAGATTGCAAAGGTCACGATATTGCTTCAACCTTGCAATCTATAAATTATTCTACCGACAAGCACGGCATAGATACCAGTTGACATTATATGTTTATTATCTACGTGCATTAACAATCCTCGGGGAGTCGACTGTGTGCAGTACACATTTAAACTGAACATTGTACACGCTGGTCCATTAAAAATTTGCCTTAACGATAACGGGAACAGCGTGTTAATGGAAGTATCAACAAATGTGTGTCTGTGTGTGTGTGTGTTTAGCCCATTCTCCTTGGAGTTACGTTAGAGTTACACGGTCGAATTTTTTTTCTCGATCTCGAGGAGAGTTAACGTCAGATTTATTTTATTTCAATTGAAAAATTAGAAATTTTGAAAAAATTCCACTTCTTCAGTTTTACCATATGTAGGTATATTTCAATGCTAATTTTATTCGTTATTTCTTTGGAATACAAATCAATGCAAACGAGTGACAATTTTCAGTATTTTTTCTCCAACGCTTTTGCATTACAAACGTCTAAACGATTTTCGCGTGACGAATTTTCTCAAGTGTCTTTTTCTAGTAAACAAAAAAATGTGTCATTTCGCTCGAACGTTATCAAAGGAATCTCTCTAACGCGTCGAAGTTTTCTCGGAAACGGACGCTGTCGCGGACAACAGCTAAAAGTGATTTATTATGTTGGAAATTTATCGATGAGACGGTCGAAGAAAAAAAAATCGACTTTCTCTGTCGATAATGAAATTAGTAGCCGACGCAGAAATTTCGCCCAGACTTTTCCCCGCAACTTTTTGATGGAAATGTCTCGTTGGAACCTGGAGAACCTTGTTCGATCCGTTTCGTGCATTACCACCTCCCGCCGCTCTGCATCATTTGCAACATGCACGTTGCATTTTACAACAATGTTGCTGTTCGCGATAATCGATCGTATGCAGCGTTTACTGTACACGCGGGCGTTACACGTGATGTGCAAAAGTCGAAGTCTAGCTGCTCGAATGCGGTGCAATATTTTCTGCGATGAATGTTTGCACGTCGAAACGTGCGATATTGTCGAAGTTGCTTTAACAAGAACCTCTTTTTGCATCTGAGAAATACGAGACTTGGTAGTTGCGTTAACTGAGATGCTATCGAGAAAATTCCATTTTTCTTGGTAAATTTATCGTACGTTGGAGTATGAAAGAATATACTAATAATTCACGTTGTCGGAGTTCCTCGTGACATAAATTGTTGGCTACCGGAAAATACTTCCGACATTTCGCTCGCGTAGCAACAACGTTGAAACAATGTTCTCTAGGATTAGGGATAAAGTTAGGAGATAAATGCATCGCAGCTGAAACATGGGAAACATTCCGCAGAAGGACAACACGCAATTCTATTGACCTCGAAAACTATTTACCGTGAATCTGACTATCAATTGAAGTGTATTTACTGCCTCGTATAATCTGCGGAACGAATCGCCTTGTACAAAATTTAAGTTGTATGCGGGAAATTTACATACAGAAAATATGGAATGAAATTTGTTCGTCCGAGGCTCAATATTCGGGAAAATCGAGTTTGAAGGCTTAATTTTCGGAATTTACATACAGAAAATATGGAATGAAATTTGTTCGTCCGAGGCTCAATATTCGGGAAAATCGAATTTGAAGGCTTAATTTTCGGGAAAATCGAGTTTGAAGGCTTAATATTCGGGAAAATCGAATTTGAAAGCTTAATTTTCGGGAAAATCAAGTTTGAAAGCTTAATTTTCGGAAAAATCAAGTTTGAAATCTTAATTTTCGGGAAAATCAAGTTTGAAGGCTTACTTTTCGGAAAAATCGAATTTGAAGGCTTAATTTTCGGGAAAATCGAGTTTGAAGGCTTAATATTCGGGAAAATCAAGTTTGAAGGCTTACTTTTCGGAAAAATCGAATTTGAAGGCTTAATTTTCGGGAAAATCAAGTTTGAAAGCTTAATTTTCGGGAAAATCAAGTTTGAAGGCTTACTTTTCGGAAAAATCGAATTTGAAGGCTTAATTTTCGGGAAAATCGAATTTTAAAGCTTAATTTTCGGGAAAATCGAGTTTGAAGGCTTAATTTTCGGGAAAATCGAGTTTGAAGGCTTAATTTTCGGGAAAATCGAATTTGAAAGCTTAATTTTCGGGAAAATCGACTTTGAAGGCTTAATATTCGGGAAAATCGAGTTTGAAGGCTTAATTTTCGGGAAAATCGAGTTTGAAAGCTTAATTTTCGGGAAAATCGACTTTGAAGGCTTAATATTCGGGAAAATCGACTTTGAAGGTTTAATATTCGGGGAAATCGAGTTTGAAAGCTTAATATTCGGGAAAATCGACTTTGAAGGCTTAATATTCGGGAAAATCGACTTTGAAGGTTTAATATTCGGGAAAATCGACTTTGAAGGCTTAATATTCGGGAAAATCGACTTTGAAGGCTTAATATTCGGGAAAATCGACTTTGAACGTTTAATATTCGGGAAAATCGAATTTGAAAGTTTAATTTTCGGGAAAATCGAATTTGAAGGCTTAATTTTCGTGAATATCAAGTTTGAAAATCCTTAATTGATATAATAAAATTTCACCGCATTTCTATGCAAAGTAAATTTGTGACAATTGTATCCTACCTAAAACTGCAATTTTTAAAATTTTTTCACCAAGAATCGTCTAATGTCTCTTTGCGCCATAACTTATTGTCGCACACTGTACATCTAAAGCACGTTTCAACGTAAACTACCGCGTTTCGTCTGTAATCCCTGTGAAAGAAGTTACCCTATCAAAGGCTACGAAAAAAAAGTTAACGGAACAAACATTCGTTTAATACGCCAGGTTACAATTCCTCGCTCATTTTACGCGCAAATGCACTTAACGGATTCTCACTACTTACACGTTTTCAATATCACCAGATCTACTGATCCCCATAGCCGAAGATCGACCACGTAGTTTGCATGAAAAATTCATTTACCATCGCGACCTTTATAAGGATTCGCCTCTGGTGTTAACGACGTATTTATATCCATGCGCGGGGATATCGTTTGCATATTTCTTAAGAGGCTTTCGACCATCGGAACGGAAAGAGCAAAGGGTAGAGTCGAATTTCTGCGTTTTTCGCGATGGACGAAAACCTGTCGGAACCAGTCGGAAAAGGGAAAAACGCGAGATTTCGCTAAGAAAACACTACACCACGTGGATCACGTTATTTATTATCCAACATACTAGGGAAAATCGACTTTGAAGGCTTAATATTCGGGAAAATCGACTTTGAAGGCTTAATATTCGGGAAAATCGACTTTGAAGGCTTAATATTCGGGAAAATCGACTTTGAAGGCTTAATATTCGGGAAAATCGACTTTGAAGGCTTAATATTCGGGAAAATCGACTTTGAAGGCTTAATATTCGGGAAAATCGACTTTGAAGGCTTAATATTCGGGAAAATCGACTTTGAAGGCTTAATATTCGGGAAAATCGACTTTGAAGGCTTAATATTCGGGAAAATCGACTTTGAAGGCTTAATATTCGGGAAAATCGACTTTGAAGGCTTAATATTCGGGAAAATCGACTTTGAAGGCTTAATATTCGGGAAAATCGACTTTGAAGGCTTAATATTCGGGAAAATCGACTTTGAAGGCTTAATATTCGGGAAAATCGACTTTGAAGGCTTAATATTCGGGAAAATCGACTTTGAAGGCTTAATATTCGGGAAAATCGACTTTGAAGGCTTAATATTCGGGAAAATCGACTTTGAAGGCTTAATATTCGGGAAAATCGACTTTGAAGGCTTAATATTCGGGAAAATCGACTTTGAAGGCTTAATATTCGGGAAAATCGACTTTGAAGGCTTAATATTCGGGAAAATCGACTTTGAAGGCTTAATATTCGGGAAAATCGACTTTGAAGGCTTAATATTCGGGAAAATCGACTTTGAAGGCTTAATATTCGGGAAAATCGACTTTGAAGGCTTAATATTCGGGAAAATCGACTTTGAAGGCTTAATATTCGGGAAAATCGACTTTGAAGGCTTAATATTCGGGAAAATCGACTTTGAAGGCTTAATATTCGGGAAAATCGACTTTGAAGGCTTAATATTCGGGAAAATCGACTTTGAAGGCTTAATATTCGGGAAAATCGACTTTGAAGGCTTAATATTCGGGAAAATCGACTTTGAAGGCTTAATATTCGGGAAAATCGACTTTGAAGGCTTAATATTC